CACATACAGCACCAAAACGAATGCATTTCTGGCAGCACGCAAACTATTAAATTGTGTGGCAGGTTTCAAAGACTTTATATTTTTCAGTTTAAATGTTTTCAGTTTACTTCAATCTAAATAAGTTCCAGTCAAAGGTCCCTACAATTATACACTAGATACCTAATAAGGAAACACAAACAAAGAAATGAATTGAGAAATTGCAATTGTAAATACGAGTTCATGTGTATAGCAGAATTTATTAACGTTCTCAATTTCAATTATATTTTTTGATTGTTGCACGAACGTGACCTAATGCTTTTCTGTATCATACAGGATACCTTTTTTGCTGAAATGAGACAAAATGGTTTTACTTGGATATCTACCTCGGGAGAGGATCCTAAAAAAGATCTCCTTCAGTCCTCGTCAGTTCCGCTGCACTATATATTTGCAAAATCTGGATATGTTTTGCATTTAATAATTTTGTATGAAAGGATTAATGATTATTGGTGGTACGGCCCACTCACATTGAGGGATATACCAGCTTTAGAACTGGGTGAAAATGCAATAGAGGTGAATGTTTCAAAGCATTTAACTGAGCGATATGCACATGCACTTGATAAGTATGTTATATTTAATAAACTATATAATCTTATGCATATATGCAAAATATGCACAATTATAATACATGTCGACCCTCATATTGTAATGCGGTTGTAAAACAACACTCAGAACAAGCTGAACAGATATAACGTGTAAAATTAACAATGCTTTTGTTGATTCAAAATATTTCCTTTAGTGAGTGGATGACCTTATCTCGTAGACAAACATTCCTATAATTTAACCAATCTGCAATACCTATCTGATTAATAACAAACTTACGCGGTTCACTTAAACTAATATTTTGAAGTTCATTCATCATTCATTGCCCGTTCATAATCTTAGCATGTTATATTGTTGTGTGTATTGGTCAGTCACATTTTTTAAAATGTTCTTTCAACACAGCCGTACACCAAAGTTGTACATTAAAGATACAAAAAACAAACGAATATATTTATTTACAATGAGTCACTTCACACCTAATGTTTCCGTTTCAGTAGTTTTATATTTATCATGTAGGATTGATATCGTCTCCAGAAATGTTGATGGTGTGCAATTGAATATACCGAGGTTTCCAGCGACATTTCTCAATCAAAACCAAAATTCGGAATTTGTTGATTGCAACTACACCAGGGTTAAAGATTACCAAGAGAAGAATGGCGTCGATAAAAGCAACAAAACAAAACATTTCAAAAATCATGTTCGGTCGATTTTGCTTGATACGAAAAAGGGGCTTGATGGACTGGGAATTCGATTTTGGTTGAGCAGTGGCACATTATTAGGTATGTTTGTGACTGTGCTTATTAGTTTTCAAAGTAATGGTATAATAATGCACTGATTGTGGTCGACCCTAAACATACTTACAATACTTACTAGGAAGTAGATTTATTTCAATGTAATTTAATGTATGATTACACAATGTTAAATTCCATACTAAAATCCATATACTGATGTATATTGCTTTCTGCCAGGCTGGTTTAGAGAATGTGATGTTTTGCTTACTTCAGATGTTGACATTGAAATTTTTGCTATGACTATGACTCTAGAATAATACAGGCATTTAAGGATTCAGGATTCTGTCTTGTTTATATACGTGGAAAGGTAAATGATTGTTCCAATTAATGACGTTTCTCTTATTGTTTTATTTCCACATTCCCCATTATGAACAAAATATGAGTGCAACATGTCTACTTTGTCATCGTTTAACTATTTTTTACCAATTTAGAATTATTATTATCTAATATAATTGTGCAAACTGAAACTTGATGGTTTTGTTAATAATACACATGATATTGCTTCTACATGAAACTTTATATTTGTTTAATGTTTTGCAGCCCGAATATGGTTTATCAATGTGCTTTAAACACGAAGTGGGCATCAAACTGGACGTGTATTTTGACTATGAAACAAATAATTCTACATGGTATATGATGACAAAACCTTTGGGCCATCGGCGTTTTCAAAAAATTAAGTATGAAAATTGTATTATGTCTACTATATAGTAACAATTTTGTTAACGATAAGACTTGTATTCTCAATATACAGTTAAAATGTACTTAAATTCTTTTGTGTACTACTTTTGTTTTTACAACTTAATGTAGACTTTTGCATTGTTTCAGGGCTCTACTACCTCGTTTTACAGTATGTTGGACTCAATTTCTTGAGATGAGGGTACGCGTCCCTTGTCAGACAGAACGCTACGTCAACAAAGTATATGGGCGACAATGGACTCAGCGTATAAGTAACTGGGTTTGGTATGAAAGTCCGCCGAACCTTGAGCAAATGGGATTATGGAACAAAACCGACTCCGTGACGTTTAAGTATTATAAATGTTAATAATACAGCAGGCGTTATCATTAAAACAATTTCTTTTTTGCCAGACATAGACATTTTTTCCGCTACACTTTGAACATATAAACTGGCAAAATACAAACGAATGTCATAAGATATGAAATAACTATTCAAATTTAGGCAATCATTCATCTTAAGGGTATTGCACAGGGAAGGGTGCATTGGTGATAACTCGAAGTTCCAGGATGTAGAAATGGATGACAGTCAATGGCTTCTGCAACACAAAGACGAAGAAACACAGGAGTCTTGCTTGCAGAGAAACGCTGTTATTCTGGAAGGCACCGCTGATAGCATGAGATCGCAGAGCAGTTCATACTAGTATCCGGGGGATATTCTTCTGGTCTGGGTTTCTCCAACACGTGTCAGGGGGGAATATCGTCTGGTCTCTATATCTCGTCTGCTTGAGGTACCGGACCGGGAAAGTCACTTAAACCTTACAGTCAAATAGACGCACACAACGAAATACGTTTCAATAGCTAGTCATTAGCCACATCTCTCTCAAGTACTAGACACGTCATATCTTTTGGTTAATCGTTCACTATATTACTAACTGCGAATACCCAACTGTCAGAAATAGCGGTCTGGATGGCGACGGTTATATCGTAATTATTTCCAAATCAAGTTCCGTCCAGGACCTCGCATGAGCCTAAATGATGACGGATATAACACAGCCATTCACTAGAAAACAGCTGAATAAGTCGGTCAACAGATACGCGAAAACTAATTCATGACACAAGTCTCACAGAATGATGGTTGAAACCTGTATCATTTGTACTCAGTTTAAATGATGGACCCTAAGAGTCCTTAGTCTAGCCAATTTATAGGTATAAATTCAGGTACACCACCTGGCTTTTCACTTGAACCAATTAGATTGTGGTCTTGCTAGCAGCTGTCTCATGTAGGATAGTCAGTAGATCGTAAACATTTTTTGTTATAAAAATCACAAGCATACCTGGTAGATTCAAATTGTTCTTCAAGAGTGATCAACAAGTATGATCTGTCAATCACCTTTATGACAGTTATCACACGGCAATGCACACCGTTCCTTCCCATGATTCCTTGCACACTATTTGCAGGGTTTGAGGTAATATTACAAAAACATAAAGTCAAGGATATCAAAATGATATACCTATTTTCATTGAATTATGAACAGCTTATTATATATAGTAATCGAAAATAATTTTATACGGAAACATTATTCAATTATATAATTTGTTAAGTTTAATTCGTATTATTAAGTGAAAAATAAATATCACGGGAATTACCTCTACAAGTTGGGATTAGACATATTGTATTCGTTGGAACCAGGTTCAATTAAAATTAATAATACAGTCACCTATAATCAATAGCTGGTACACATTCATTTCTTGATTTATCCGTCTGAGTTTCTCTTGACTTTTTGCTGATTTTCATGTTTCGTATAGTTTTATATGTAGTTGTGGTTCGTCACACAGAGCGCCCCAACATCATATATATCCCATAGTAACACATTTAGTCTTACATTACTGAATTAGTTTATTTATTCGCACCTTTTTGTGTTGAATTATTTTTTTTGGTTACAATTACAGCATTAAATTTACACACATATGTAGTATTTATCCTCACTTTATTGTGTTTTATTTAAAGTTCCACTGAAGCTTTAGTTTTAAGGCAAAATGTTGAAATACATAAAGGTTATTTTTTATTGACAAATAAGCCTTAGATGCGAGTACCTCAAATAGTATTGTATGCGTATTTATCATCACGTCCACTGTGTGTATGACGTTTGTAAAAATAGTGTTAGGGAATAGAAAAGAAACACTATTTAGAAGCCAAACACAATTCTCGTAACCCTCAATATGACAAGTCGACGAGATATTATCACTCAACGGGGATTCCTGGTACCATCACTCTGTAAACACTTATTTGTTTAAGTTTGTTGTTCTATCAGGGGGGAATTCTTCTCCACGGGGTTCTCCACACGTGCCAGGGGGGAATCTCGTCTCGTCTCTCTATTGCGTCCCCTCGAGGTACGGGATCGGGGAAGTCACTTATACTTTACAGTCAAATAAGACACGCACAACGAAATACGTTTCAACTCTCGTCTTAGTCGATCAGTCGAGCACTCTATAAGACACAGCGCCCTGGGGAAAAATCCCCAAGACTATCGCAAGGCTGACCCAAGACTCTT